TAAGTTTCATAATTTTCTTGAAATAAATAAAAAAATATATAAAAGAAAGAAAAAAAGGCAAATTTCAGGTTTTTTGCAATAACTCGAGAACGGTTGAGGTTAGATTAATTTTCTTTTCAGAACAATGAACACAACTTTTCTCTAATTTAACCTATGCTGTATCTCTTACCTTTTCGAATATCCCAATCGTATGCACTGTAAGAGTGATCACCGCGTATATATGCTTATAACGGGTAAACTTTTATTTGAATAAATAGTTTGTTTATCGAAATAAAAATATTTTTGTAATCCTCTTATAAAATTAGTTTATAAGCAGATGAAGTAACTTTTATCAATTACAATAGGAAAAAGGAAATATTAAGAACGCTGCGAAAGAAAAAAAAATGTAAGACATTTTTTTTGAACATAGTTTCCGCTAGGTGTCGAATCATAGAGTCAACCGTGTTCTTACAATGAAATGGAAAGTTTTAACTCTTACTAGAAAAAAATGAAAAGAAGAAAAACGAGGGAACGCTTTTATACTGCTGTTGCGACGGTTGAAAAGATATGAAAACGTTATCAGATGATTTACGGGTGAAACTCAGCGGATTTTATGATGCCTCTCGTCATTCCAACTTAACGATTATAGGCTGTTAAATAACAGCACCTATAGGTATAAAATGTTTATACCTTGAATCTATTGCATTTAAAATTACAGTATTTCATTCTGGGGACGAAGGCACCTCATTCATGCGATGTGTTGGTTGTGTTATATATTATACATCTCCAAAGTTTCAAAAACTAATTACCTACTACGTAATTTAAATGCATTTGTGTGTATAAACTGCTCTGTGCTCCATGAAATTCTTCTCTCTTTAACATTTCATAGCTTTAGTTGGTAAATTCTTCAGGAATAGTTTGTTTGAACCGGAATCGAATTTTAATCAGTACCATGGGGCAGTTGTCGGGGATTATCCATTTTACTCGCATTTCCTCTTTGTTTTCTGTAGCAATTCCCTCTTTTAAATAGGTGGTCCAACGGGATACCAACTCTGTATTTAAGGGAGTGCCTTTTTTGGCTGAAGTGGAAGGATCAAGGCCTAAAATTTCCACATAGTTTTCTGAATGTGTGGAAACATTTTCCGAATGAGCAGGATCATCTCCTGGGTGAAAAGAATCATCATCTGAATCTGATTCTACTAAAATTCTCCTTCTTGGAACGTTTGCTGTTAGACTTGGTCCACGTGTAAAAGAAACAGTTGATTCGTCATCGCCTGTAATTAAGAGGAACTAGTCAAATCCGTTGTTAAGCACTCTTCTAATTAATTCCGATTAGGCTAGTGAAATTTGTAAGTACAGTTAGTATTCGACGGGAGCGAGACAGGCTACCCGGAAAAGAAGGTAACGGAGGGTGCGAGTAAGGCACCTACCTAGAGATCACCCTGTATCTTAATTCTTAAAACTTCGGGAGTGAGAAAGACTACCGGTTTTATTAGACTCAAGCGAGGTAAAGTGCGAGTAAGGCACCTACCTAGAATCCACTGCTTCAACAGTGTATAAGATAACACTTGTGCAGTTGTAACCAACGAGAGCGAGAAAGGCTACCCATGGTAGTTGTAAAAGGCAACGTGGGTGCGAGTAAGGCACCCGCCTTTTTTCTTGGAAATTTCGGTGCTGTCAGTTGCAGCCCCTGACAAGAAACACTGAAAACAGCGTTACGCCAGCTGCATAGGAATCGGTTTGGCAAACTGGCAAAATCCAGGGGTAATGCGCACCAACCTTGTCTTGAACAGTTTTAGGCCTAGATAAAGAAAAAAGTAGAGAATATACTTACTTGTAGAACTAGGCGAAAGATCGTCTAGTAATGTTTCCAATTTTTTCATTTTCTTTCTCAGTGTAAGCAATCTTTTCTTAGCGTCCAGCTTTCTTTTTGGCATCTTGATAAATTCTCACAACACAACCGGCACGTCTCACACTAAACTGCGTAATGATTCATAAGCACTGAGTGGTGTCCTAGGTCCCGGGGTGGGGGCTGTTTGCTTTCAACATAGTGGTACGTCGCACATCGAAGATTGCAACTACCTATGTGTTCTATAAGGACCGGACCAGGACGTATAATGACAAGTTATTTTTTGTATTATTATTCATTTTTCTTACTGAGGGAGCTAACAGATATCATACGATTCCTTACTCAAGAATATTCCGTTTGAACGGAAAATGTTAATCTCACAATCAATGGGATAAATTCTGTGAGTTTAAACTACATTTTGTTTCGGTATTAACTAAAGACACATATAATATAAGAAAGAGTTCGTTTCTATTTCTATAGAAAGGCTGAGTATTGCGGATAACAAATTATCCTCAGTAGAAATAGACGGACCAAAGCTATTATTCTTGAACTTGATCGGCTTCGTCGTTGTTGTGTGCACGTAAATCATTCCACTCGGTTGTGGAAATCCTTGTTCTGGTTATGAAAGGCGTCATTGTATTTTTGGATTTTTCAAGGAAACGGACTTTGTGTCATCATTCAGCTGTCTAATCCGGTTCGATTTTGACGGCAAAAAGAGATTCTGGCATCAGAAATCCGTTGCGAATGAACGGTCCTTTTCTCTCTGGAGTTCCACAAACTTGTTAAATCTCTTGGAACGCTACCAACAGCTTGTGAACTGGTGTAATGTGCAATTTCCGAGATTTCGTTTTCCGGACTAGCGTTGGCGTTAACGACAACAACAAGAATGTTAATACATATACATATAATTTATGCTTCAGCTAATGTGCAAAATTAGGAATTCTTAAATACGGGTAGGAGTTTACAGAACACCTCTCTTTAATCCTCAAAAGTCTTGGTTTTAATTTTGGTTCTTTCCGTCTAGGTTTTAGTCTTGGTCTTGTTCTTTCGCTCTTGATCTTGGTTATGCCATTGTAAAGACAATCTTAGCCTTGCTAAAAAGATCAAGACCAAGACTGCAAGACCAAGACCAAGACCAATTTTGATCATCACTAGTGTTTAGTATATAATAGAGCCTTGTATTCTACTGTAGCAGCCGTATTTTAAAACTGCATTTATTAAAGACTAACTTTTCTCCGCGGCTTCGCTTGCAGAAATTAATATTGTTTCTCTATAAAACCTCTTAACTCCCAATTCACCCTCACAACGTTTAAATTTTATGTAATGTAACATCCCCCCTTTGGTGATGAATGTTTTAAAATGTCGAGATAGATCTTTCAGAAATCAAATGAGAGACCATTAAAACCAAATTTCAAGTGAATTTCACGACAAATATCGTAATATATGTTGCATTTAAACATTGCAACTCCTCTTCACCACTGCTCCCTCCCACGGGAACGGGATAAAAAGTATGTCCGTCTCCTGGTTGCAAACTACCTCCCCACCGATTTTCAGCCAAATCTGTTCAGCCGTTCTTGAGTTATAAATAGTGTAACTAACACGACTTATACGTAGATATATATAGATGTGAATAACTTTTAAGAATCGAATAGCATCAAATCTAGTAAACTAATGGCATTTAATTACTGAAACCATCTTATATCGGTAAAATTGAATTTTCATGTAATAAAGTTCTTAATTTTGTACGAGTGGCGACTCGACAATCAATTTCGTTTATTTTTTAATATTTTGAGTTTTAAATTTGCATACGTGATGAAAAAGGGATATTTCGATTGACACCAAGATCCTTAACAAACAAAGTATACAAAGTATCGTGTACTAGAAGTCGTTTGGAATGCTGCCAACTTGACGGAACATTTAAAGTTTAACTTGACGATGGACCGTTGCCTGCAGGCGCTTATCTAAGGACTTTTTATTAATTTATTGTAGCCGCCAACGAAGCCAACGCGGTCTTTGGAATAATCATTTAATAAAAATTCGCTTGTACTTACATAGTTATGGAAACAAAGGCTGAGTCGTTTAGAAACTTTTTAATTACATTTTTAGAAACATTTTCAAGCTTTGTACACATTGCGATGTGTATCGCTAATGAATTTTTAAATTTATTAAACTTAAAAGACGATAAGAAATGAAGCTTATACATTTTATTTATTACGTTTTAATATATATGATTTTATGATAATTAAGTTGAGTAACAAATTAATTCTCACGTTTCAGTTTGTTTTGTTTATTTCACTTTAAAAAATCCCATCATTCAGCAGTAATATAAAAGGAAATTAGAAGAATAAAATTGACGTTGAATATAAAATGTCACGGGTCCACCTCCGTTGGATTAAATATTCGAA